AAAAGGCCAAAATTTGATTGTGATGTATTTCCCAAACAAAGTTAATTACCTCTGAGTGAAAATTCATTGTTATTAAGGAGGCATTTATACCACTACTTTTAAATCGACGGAGATTTTGAATTTACAAATAATTCACTCTTTTTATACTTTTTGTTTCTTATTTATATGCAGTTCTAATTGGTAAATGCTATTTGAAGGGCATATCTACCCATCTGCTTGTGAGGTTTCTTGGATGAACCTTGTTAATGAATTTGTTGCTGGAATGAAAGCTTATTTGAGGGTAATTCCCAAAGATGCATTTGGTAACAATATCTCGTCCGTTAGTCTACCAAAGGGAGATTACTTTGTGGTGTCTGGATCTTATGAAAATGGGACTGCTGCAGTTGTCCTCGACTTCAGAAACAATGGTTGGAGTGAATATGGATATATTATTCTTGAGTTCGTCCCCATCACTTCTGGAAGCCTTTTGTTACATGCGTTTGGTGATAATCGAACTTTAAGCGGTTCTCCTCTACATTTTCTGGTTAAACCAGGTTTGTTATTTTTTGTGTACTTTTTATGTTATTTAATAATTTTTGGAGATATGAATATGGTTAACGGCAGTGTTGCTAAGTGTTCTTTAAATGTGCTTGATATATTCATTGAAATGAGGTCAGCCTTTGCTTACATTTATGAGATCCAGAATGGCAAATTGGATGAATGGACGATTGGCTGCTACTTAAGATTTTTGTTTCCAGTATGGTTGCCTTCATGTACACATGTTGTGCAGGAATTTTCTATGCATTATAAGAGCCATTTCTCTGACCTGAACCTGATATTCTATGATATATTATTGCTGGCTATTAAGATGCAGTACATCATATATGCTAATGGGCCTGTATATTAATTGACCATCAGACATATTCTTAATTGACCATCAGACATATGCTTAGTACTATACTCCCCGTTTTAGAATGTTTTTTATTATTCTGTGTCATTCTGTACCCTAATGATTTTTGCAATTTCTATCTAAGAAGAATTTGCACAGTACCGTTTATTTATTTTGAAAGGGTTCTCTCTCTTTATCATCAGCTTAAAATGCAATCCAGTTCAATAGCTGGTACATTTCCAAATCCTCCAACAGGCTTTTCTTGTGTGAATGGCAAGCTCAATCTCGTCAATAGATTCTTTGCCAGGATATCTACATGGTTCATATATCAGTATATTTTGGCAGAGCTCTTCCTAATTATTTTCCACTCCCTATTACATTATATGATACTTAGTATAGCATTACATTGTAGCGAACACAGTGGTACCTAAATTTTATAAACTTTACAAGGGCATGGCTGGCTGATATCTAGACTTAACAATAAGCTTGTTCTTCAAATCCTAGTTGCTTAGAAATTTGGCAGCCCACTTAGCATCTTATACGAGTAGTTCTTTCAGTATCCTGCCAATTTTTTATCGAATAAACTTGTTTTGATTCCACAGAAATGTTATGATGGAAAGTTACTGTAACTACAGTAATCACCTACCCGCTACAGGAATCACTAACTGCAGACCCGCTAAATATTATTGTAGCAATATTTTAGAAACAATGCTCACCTATCACAAACTCACATATATAGCTCTCCTTGTCGTTAAGTTCTGATCATCCCAGTGTCTCCAATTAAGAGTGAAAAGAAAGAGAGAGGGTGTCATAATGGACTAGCGTGAAGAAATATTAGTGGGTTAAATAGAGAAGTCTAAAAACCTAAGAACAACTAGTACTAGCATTTTAGCGGTGGATTTAGCCAACCTACGAGTTGCTCTCCGTGGACCTACGGCTTGCACACGCCAATGGGCCCGTGAATCTGGGACGTGAAAAATGGTATTAGAGAAGTTATCAGCCGGAAATGTGGAGCTAAGTGTTATACGGGGCTAAGTGTTACACCGTGTGGATGCGGTGAGAGCTACATCTAGATAAACAACGCCTTATAGTGATACTATGATGTGCCAATTGTCATGTCTTGACGATGAGAACGTCGTCTTTGTAAGATGGAATGATTGTGATACCCCCACTTTAGTCCCACATGGACTAGCGTGAAAAAATATTAATGGCTTAAATAAAAAAACTCAATGCCCAAGAACAACTAGTGCTAGCATTTTGACGGTGGATTTAGCCAACCCACGAGTTGCTCTCCGTGAACCCACGACTTGCACGCGCCAACGGGTCCGTGAGCTTGGGGCATGACAGAGGGATAGAAAGAGTGAAAAATAGAGAGAGTTTCTCTTTAAAAAGAGAGATTATAATTCTTTAGTTTTTCCTCATAGTGGATTCTTCTATCTTTGCCTGTGGTTTTTACTCTAAATTTATTTAGGAGATTTTCCACATAAATTTGTGTTTATTTTATTAATTTTGCTCTACTATTCGCTAGGACCTTGCTTTATTAGGCCCTGGGTTTATCCTAACTAGTGGTATCAGAGCCCGACTAAGGGTGCGTGTATCTACTTATCGTATACTCTGTGACTGTCACCAAAAGTGGATCCTCTATATCAGAAAATAAATTAGATTATCATTTACTCTTTGAAGGCGATGAGCACTATTCACAAACACGACATTGTTCATAAGTGCGATACTATTTATAAGTACAGTACTATTCACAGATACGATTACTATTCATAAATATATTTACTATTTACTTGAAATAGTAAGAAGTTACTATTCGTGGTAGAAGTAATGACGACGAAGTTCAAGATTGAGAAATTTAACATGAGTAACTTCTCACCATGAAAGTTGAAGATAAAGGCTAATTTTAAGAAAGATAATTGTCTAGCAGCTATCGGTGCAAGGCCAGCTGATATCACAGATGATAAGAAGTGAAACGAGATGGACGAAAATGTTATTGTAAATCTCCACCTGGTATTAGCAGATGGGGTACTGTCAAACATAGAGGAGAAGAAAGCAAAGGAGATTTATGATACTCTAACAAAGCTATATAAGGTAAAATTAATGCACAATAAAATCTTCTTAAACAGGAGAATTTATACTCTGAGGATGGCGAAATCTACATCAATAACCGAACACATCAACACCCTAAACACACTGTTCTCCTAACTCATAACGTTGAGACATACAATCGGTGTGAATGAACGTGCATAACTTCTACTTCAGAGTCTACCTGACTCATATGATCAGCTCATCATCAACCTAACAAACAATGTCCTCACGAACAATCTAGTCTTTGACAACGTTGCAACCGCTATTCTGAAGGAAGAAAATCGGCCTAAGAACAAGACAAGCAGACAAGTTTGTAACAAGCGGAGGCCTTATCGGTGACGAGAGAAAGATCAACGGAACGTGACTCTAGTAGGAGTCATACCCATGGTAGATCAAAATCAAGAAGTAAGAAGAATATCAAATGCTATAATTGTGGCAAAAGAAGGCATGTGAAATCGGAGTGTTGGCACAATAAGAAAAGCGATGATAAAAAGTCTTCAGAGCCATCAACATCTCAAGGATACGTTGTCAGCTCATCAGATGATGGTAAAATTTTATATAGTGGAGCAACCATTGTTGATGAAAACAGAAAGATGTTTGCTAATGTCTGGCTTCTAGATTCAGCAGCATCCTGGCACATGACCTCCCAGAGAATGGTTTTATAAATATGAACATATCTCAGGAGAATCTATATTCATGGGCAATGAACATGCCTTGGAGATTTTTGATATTAATACTATTAAAATCAAAATGTTTGATGGTACAATACATACTATTTAAGATGTACGACATGTAAAAGGCTTGAAGAAGAATCTATTGTTTTTAGGACAATTAGATGAGCTCGGGTATAAGACACATATAGAAAACATGATCATGAAGATTGTTAGAGGGGTGTTTGTTGTGATAAAAAGAGAAAAGATTGCTGCAAATTTATACATGCTTAAGGGAGAAATCCTGTAGGAAGCTGATTCATATGTGACATCAACTAGCCATTGAGAAGAACAAACCATGATGTGACATCGCAAACTAGGTCATATGTCAGAACGAGGCTTGAAGATTTTCTCCGATCAGAAGCTGCTTACTAGACTCAATTCGATAGCTCTTCCATTCTGCGAGCATTGTGTTATAAGTAAGCAGCATCGGCTGAAGTTCAACATATCGAGTTCTAGAAATAAGGCTATTCTGAAACTAGTTTATTCTGATGTATGGTAAGCACCAGTTACATTCATGGGAGGAGCAAAGTATTTTGTGTCATTTATTGCTGATTACTCCAAAAAATATTGGGTGTATCTTATCAAGAAGAAGACGGATGTGTTCTTAATCTTTAAAGCCTAAAAAGCGCGAGCTGAGCTTGAATCTGAAAAGAAGATTAAGTGCTTGAGGTTAGATAATGGAGGAGAATACACAAATGGTGAATTTCTTACATTCTGTAAGCAGAAAAACATCAAAAGACAATTCAGTATTGCTTATACTGCTCAACAAAATAGAGTGACGGAGCGGATGAACAGAACTCTGTTGGAAAGAACAAGAGTAATGTTAGCAACTGTAAATCTGGATAAAATCTTTTGGGCGGAAGCAGTAAAAATCACTTGTTATGTGGTGAATCGATTTCCATCAACTGTAATATTGTTAAATACGCCAATAGAGATGTGAATTGGTAAACCAGCTGATTATTTCAACCTTCATATATTTAGAAGTCCAGTGTACTTGATGTACAATGCCTAAAAAATTACAAATCTAGATTCAAAATTCAGAAAATACATTTTCTTAGGGTATGCTGACGGAGTTAAGAGTTATCGCTTATGGGATCCCACTGCCTGTAAGATTATCATCAGCAAAGATGTTATATTTGTAGAGAACCAACTGTAAAGTGAAGTAAAAGAAAACAGTTCAAGGAAGGACTCGGATACTGTAGCTGTTCAGGTAGAAAATGGTCCAAATTCTTCTGAAACAATACCGGAGCATGATGTACAAGAACCAGTCGAGTCCAATACTCCAGAAGTTCGAAGGTCAACTCGTGAGAGAAGACCACCGACTTGGCACTCAGAGTATATTACAGAGAGTAATGTTACATACTATCTTCTAACAGAGGATGAAGAGCCATTAACTTTTTATGAAGTTATAAATAGCACAGATGTATTTTTATGGATGGTAACAATGTAGAAAGAAATTGAAGCTCTCCATAAGAATAAGACTTGGATATTTGTGTCACTATCACAATGAAGAAAGACCATATAAAATAAATAGGTCTATAAGATCAAGTGAAATGGCGATGGTCAAGTGAAGATCATGCTAGATTAGTGGTAAAATGATATGCTCAAAAAAAAGCTATTGACTTCAATGAAATATTTTCTCCTGTAGTTCGACTTATAACAGTTCGAATAATCCTGGCTATGAGCACTATATTTGACTTACATCTAGAACAACTAGATGTGAAAACAACATTTCTTCATAGAGATATTGAAGAAGAAATTTACATGCTCCAATCAGAAGGTTTTGAAGAAAAAGAAAAAGAGAACTTGGTTTGCAGATTGAACAAATTTCTGTACGGACTAAAGCAGACACTGAGGTGTTGGTACAAGAGATTTGATTCATTCATCATGAACTTTGGATACAACGGACTTAATTCAGACCCTTGTGCATATTTCAATAAGCTTGGTAAAAATAACTTTGTTATATTATTATTGTATATTGACGACATGTTGGTTGCAGACCCCAACAAATATCGGATCAAAGAATTAAAGATGCAATTGGCTAGAAAATTTTAAATGAAGGATTTAGGATCTACAAACAAGATTCCAGTTATGCAAATTTACCAAGACAAAATTAATAGGAAGATTTGGCTTTCTCAGAAAAATTATTTAAAGAAAATCTTGCGGCACGTTAACATGCAAGATTGTAAGTCAATTTCTACCATATTTCCTGTTAATTTTAAGTTATTCTTCAGTATGAGTCCTAGTAGTGAAGAAGAGAGGATAAAGATGTCTTGAGTACCGTATGCATCTGCAGTGGGAAGTCTAATGTTCGCTATGATTTGTACAAGACCAGACATTGTACAAGCAGTGAGAGTGGTTAATCGATACATGACGAATCCTGGTAAAGAGTATTGAAATATTGTAAAGATGATCCTAAGATACATTAAGGGAACCTCAAATATTATATTATGTTATGGGAGATCAGATTTTATTGTCAATAAATATGTTGATTCTGATTATGCAACTGATCGTGATAATAGCAAATTCGTCACAGGCTATTGTGTTTGCACTTGCTGACGGAACTGTAAGTTGGATTTCAAAACTGCAGTTAGTTGTAGCTACTTCAACAACAGAAATAGAATATGTAGCAGCTACACAAGCTTGTAAAAAGGCGATATGGTTGAAGATGGTGCTGGAGAAACTCAGACATGAATAAAAGAATATTTTCTTTATTTTGTGACAGTCAGAGTGATTTACATTTGACAAGAAATCCAGCCTTTCATTCAAAGACAAAACACATTCGAGTTCGATACCATTTCGTTCGTGAGAAAGTGGAAGAAGGAACAGTGGATATGCAGAAAATTCATACAAAAGATAATCTAGCAGACTTTTTGACAAAAACAGTCAATACTGATAAATTTATTTAGTATCGATCCTCTTGTGGTTTGTCGGAGATGTGAGCAACATGAAGATGATAAGATAGAAAGAATGATGTAAAGATATAATTAATACTCAATCAAATTTTTAAGTGGGAGATTGATGAAAAGTTACCGTAGCTACACTAATCACCTACCCACTACAGGAATCACCAGCTACAGCGATCACCTACCCGCTACAAGAATCACCAACCGCAGACCCACTAAATATTATTGTAGCAACACTGTAGTAACAGTGCTCACCTACCACAAACTCACCTATATATAGCTCTTCCTGGCGTTAAGTTTTGATCATCCCAGTGTTTCCAATTAAGAGTGAAAAGAAAGAGAGAGGGAGAGAGAAAGAGTGAAAAATAGAGAGAGTTTCTTCTTGAAAAGAGAGATTGTAACTCCTATGTTTTTCCTCATATTGGATTCTTCTATCATTACCCGTGCTTTTTACCGCAAATTCATTTAGGGGGTTTTTCACGTAAATCTGTGTGTTCATTTTATTACTTCTGCTCTATTATTTGCTGGGAACTTGCTCTATTGGGCACCAGGTTTGTCCCAACGTGCTGCAGTTTGAAAATAACTCAAAATGTGGCCGTTACAGAGCTCAGTGAAAGAAAAGGATTCATGTTGACAACCCAAATATGGGATAAATGTTTCATTATTGTTATTGTCTTAAATTGATTAGTCTCACAACATGCGACAATGTGCAAAAAAACTATTTTAAAATCTTGAGACTTGGAAGGCTGGAGCTGGATACAATTGAAGTAGTTTCAATAGATGCTGTTGGTCAAGTAACAGTTGTATCAACAAAATTGCACTCTGTTTTATTTATTTAGATGTTATCCGCCATTCATTGAGATATTCCAATAACCTTTATTTGTTTATATTATTAATCTAAATACGCCTTATCTACCTTGTTACAGGTTCCATAAGTATCACCAATAGTCTGGCTAGATGGAAATATGGAGCAAGCTTTTTGCAAATTTTCTCAAAGCTTGAAATATTTATACACCAGAAAGATCAGTTTGGTAATTCCGTTCCAGGTCTATATGCATTTGATGCTAGAGTTGTTCACAAAGCTACAAATTTGTCTGTTCCAGTTGCCGACTTGTTCTTCCAAGAGGTGTCAGAAGGAGTTCAATTGCTTTCTTTTTCCGTAACAGAACCTGGGGAATTCATGCTCACCATTTTCAATGCCAAGTTAAATGAGAGCATTTCTAATATGCCTTATCAATATACTGTCTTCATAGGTATGTTTATTTTGAAATTTTGGATAATTTGCAGAAATTTGCCTGAGTCTGTTGCTTTCCATCACTTCGGGAGTTTTGATAAGGTAGGACGGATGACAAGCAGAGTCCTGCTGGAGGATTAGTTGAAGCCTGGCTTGGGAGTTGGTTTTCATGCCTAAGCCTATCCCAGATTATCAGATTTGAGACCATGAAACACTTAATTCGTTGGACCTTCTTCCAGCAGATCCTAACTCACTAACTGTCATCTGTATCAACATAACTGGAATTTAAGGACATATTCTTGAGGCAAAAGTGAGATGTGCATATAAAAATCTCAATTGCACACAATTAGAGTAGTTATTTATCAAATTGTTCTTCTCAGTTGAAAATAAATATGAATCGTACTATAATTTCACCGGCACAAATAATTTGATCCCATGTGGTGTTTGGTTTTCCTAGTTTTAGTTATAGTACATACTTTTATCATTAATCTCCATTTGCACTTTGTCTAATCTGTATGAATTTATGTTTCTGTTTTAACAAGCTTTCTGCTTACTTCCATTAAATGCATCTTTGCTCAGGTTATTGCCATGGATTAAATAGCTTTGTCAACGGATCTGGGCTAGCGAATTCTATCTCTGGTAGAATGTCTCATTTCATTGTTTATTTGGAAGATCTGTACCACAACCCTTCTCCAGTTGAGGCACAATGGCTACAAGTACAAATTTTCAGTAAGAACAGCACATTTATTATTCATCCAGTGATGTGGCCTCTAAGGAATACCAACGGTGAGAACTTTGGAATCTTCTCTTTCTTCTTCAGAGTACATATATGGCATTATTGACTTTACATGTACAAATACCAGGAACAGCACCAAGCCCAGTTTTACTGGAAGGACGTACGGAATCTCTTTCTATATTGCCAGCTGATGAAGATAGGCCTGTAAGGAATTTCATGCTTCTGCTTTTGAGTGTAGCTATCCTTATGTAGGGAGCTGACATGATATTTGATCTTGTTGTTCTTAGTTTGCTGGAAACGCATCAGTTCTGGCAAGTAAGTATAGCATCACATATACTGCTGAAAAATCTGGAGAATATGAAATATGGGTGCTTTGTGGAAATATTGCATTAAACAATGGCCATCCTTACTTGATGACAGTATTTCCAGGTACTCGCCAAATAAATCTTTGCACCTATTGTACTTATCATACCAAGGGAGTAGTAAATTTCTCACATGAATCTATTTTTGTATTTAACTATATATGTAAGTTTTACATACACATCATATAATAACACGCAAACTATAGAAATTTGTAGGCAAATACGCAAATGCTTACACACTCACTTGCATGCACCGCATACTCGCCCACATGCACATGCGCGTGTGCACATACACACACGGACGGGATGAGAATTAGATTTTGGGCATGTGCAAATGCATGCATTTGAAATTCAATTGAATATGCGTACAAAAACTAAAAAGAAAGGAGCCATTTGGAGTGAGAGTTGATAGGCTCTAATGAAACATTTAATATGGTGACCTCATGGTTTATTTTCTAAAGACGTGTACATTTTGTTTTTTGTCTTCATGATATGACGCACAAAACACAGAGTTATACATGTATTGCTGTAGTAGATTTTTAGCCAAAATTCTACATCTAAGAAACTATTCGATTAATTGGTCAATTTTGAGCTATTTACAATTTTGAAAACAGCTTACCTATGCTTGTTGCTTAATTCGAATAAATTTTACATGCCTAAAATTGTTGACAACCTAGGTAAGTTGTTGTTTACGTAGTTGCTTTTTAGCAGAATTGTGAATTGGGTGATTCCTACTTGGACGTATAAGAGAATATCTGCACTCCTCCTGCTACAACATATATTGGTTGCATGATTGCAAGTATCTAGATATAAATTTTGTCCATTGACAATGTTTTTACTTGCATGAATACTTTCTTTAACATTATGGTGTCTTGTTACTTATTATGTACTCTTATATTTGATATGTTGTCAAATGACAAGAAGTTGATGAATCGATTTGAGCTAAATAGTTGTGTGATTCTCTCATTATCAGACCTTGAGTATGTTTGGTGCTCTGTTATTGAAATTCAGGCATGAAGGTTTCTAGTGATGAATTGTTCATGCAAGCTAACCAATTTTATGAAATGAATTCCTATCTTTTATGCTATAGTTGTTTCTGAATTATTTTGATGTGAACAGGATATATTCAGCAAAGCTTAATTGGCTTCTAGTGTATTGGATTACGTAACTATATGCTTGTCCGAACTTGCAAATTTTGACATAGCTATGATATCATCTTCATTTTCTTACCTGATTGTAGCAATACTTAAGCGGTTCGATCGATCCAATCATACTATCTGCTATTTGCTTTCCTTTTTCAAAGACAAAGTTATATTTTCTTATATGGAACACATGCTAGGGATTAAGCACAAGAAAAGGAGCTGTGCCAGTGTTTAAATTAAGCTTGATAATTGTAAGACCTTCATAACAGGAATTCTAATTTTCTTAATTGCATTCTGTTATGGTTTCTTTTTTCATTTGCGGTGCAACCTCGTATGTCTTCCCTAATGTTATATTTCTCTTCAAGCTAAATAAGTTCTTGTTTTAGGGTTTTTTTTTTTAATATAGTGATAACCTATGAGTTGCTATTTTTCTGAAATGTATAACACATTAATGAGTGGGTTGAAATCTCTGCAGGCATGGTTGACACATCATTTTCAAGTGTCTTCAGTTTTACGTCTAGAGTCGGGAAACTCATGAGAAACATGATCTCTGTACAATTACTCGATGCATATTTGAACCCCGTCTCGTCAGAAGAAGCAAAACTAAGCTTTGATATTAAAGTTTCAAACAGTTCAAGTTTCATGACATGGGCTTTTGTAGACAATAAAGATGGATCCTATGTTGGTTACTACATGTCAAGAGCTCTTGGTGCTTACAATATGTGCATTTTATATGAGGATAAGCCCTTGGCTCCTTGCCCTTTTGAAATCCAAGTGTACGAAAGTAAGTTCCATTACAGACACTTTTGAAACAAAATTGTTATAAGACTGACCGAATTTTAGCTAGAAAATAGACAGAGTAATTCTAGTGCAATAAGACTGCGGTGTTATAATCGTCCCTATTTAACATGTTATCTTCTGCTTCAAACTGTAAATAATACACATGGCATACAAAAACATATAACACATGGCAGTTTAACTGTGCAAGTAGACTCTAAATTTAGTGGATATCTAGCGAGTTTAATGAATAAATTATTTTCTCATAAGCTGTCTGCCAAATTCGTGTTGGTCAGTTTGTGGATATTTTAACTTCAACTAATAGTGGTCGTTTGTCTGCCCGCTTCGTGCGGCCAATATTTGTTGCTTTTTTGTTTCATTATACGCTTATTAATTGAATAAGGGAGCATGGTCCACCTTTATCTCAAAAAGGAAAGTTATTTGCCAAGCCTGTGTTATTTGAAGTACATTTCTCTGCTTTCATGTGCAAATGCCCCATTTTTACCACCATAAGTTCTTTTTTCAGTTATAACAAGAACATTATGGGAATTTAAAATGAGTATAATATTCCAAATGTATGTTGGCTTTCACTATGTTCCTACTTTAGACAGTTACAAACTGTTCCATTCTTGTCAAAGTTCAATGGCTGGAATATATTTTAACCTGTAATATGGTCCCAGGCTAAATTGTAGAAAGGACTATCACTAGTTGCCTTATCAAGTACTGCTGAAATTTTTACGACCAGTAACTCTCCGAGTTTTTGAGATGCTTGTCTTTCATCTTAATATATGGTCTTGGAATATTATGGTAATAATAAGACTCCCAGCTGATATTATCAACATCTTTGAGCAGTTGCCTGTTTCTTTCACATGTTCTCAGTTTAACAAGCAACTGAGACTAGCATTATTAAATTTTTAGTAAAGAACATTAGTCGATATTTTTCCCAAAGTTTGTATTCGCTTTATTGATCTCGCATTTGAGATCAGCGAACAAAGCAACTATAGTAAGATTCATAATCAGCCCTGTTATGTGTAAGCAATTTTGCTTTTCTATTTAATATGAATCGATTCAGCTTCTTTTGACCTACTTTGCTTAAAGTTACGCTAAACTTTCCTTATTTTGAATCCTCATCGATCAATGATTATAAGCTGAGATATCCATCTTATGGTACCCTCTGTAACTCGAGGAATTTCTAATGAATAACATTTGTATAAGTAATTTTTATTATCTTCTGAATGGATGAATGATCTACTAGGTCCTCTTAATGAAAACTATAATTTATGCTATGTTATGGGAATGACAGTATCAGGTTATCCACTAAGTTATAGGAGTTGACTGACAGGCTTTGGACTTTTTGGCATTAAGCTGATAGAAAGTAATGATTAAAAGAGCACATCATGTCCATGGATTTTCTCTGTTTCATGAGATTCATTGTCACAGTTTATTTCAGAAATCTGAAGAAGGTTGTATTTAAATAGTTTCAAAGGCAGGTCAACGTTGACAGGTTTTATTTAGAAAATGGTATCTGCCCATGTGGACGCTTTCCATCTATTTATATCTTGGGACTTATGCAGGACGTGTAGCTTCTCACCTAATAAGGAGAGATTTGGTTGTCATTTGATCATGACACTGACCTTTCTACTATTTTTAGTGGTAAGAAAAAAGTATTATTCCTTTATCTGAACTTTCATCCGATGAACCTAATTTTATTCCAAATATATACAGTGAATTATCTAATAAAAGAATAAGAAACATCACAGGAAACTATTATTAAAATTCAATTGGTTCTTATACCTTTAGCATGGGCAAAGAACCAAACGAAACAAAGCCAGTTTTCGTCTTTTAATTCATGTACTCTGAGCAAGACTTGATTTGATGATTGATATTTGCTTAAAAGTTATTTTGTAGGGGATTATTTTGCTGAAGCCAATAATGACAGCATTTCTGTGTGGGAAGATGAGTCAGTTGCTTTTAATGTCCTAGCAAATGACTATGTTCCAGGTGGACAATTTACTATAGCTGGATTTTCGATGGTAAGTAATACTAACTGCTTTATCATGTGATAGTAATGTTGTCATGCATGTAGGCTTGGTCCATTTTATTGCATGATCATCTCTATGCCTTATGCAAATTTTCTTTGATTGTTATGCTTGACATTGAGCATGTGTTGCCCATAAGAATCTTTCTGGAGGAGTCTTGAAGATTAGCATAGTTTACCATAATAGCATAGTTGATTGCTATCAGGGCGGCAGCAGGCCTGTTTTCACCAATGAAAACAACAGCAGGTGTAATTTGAAAGCCAAATATATAGGGTGCTGCTAAAGGTGGCGAAATTTCGAAAAAAGAACAGGGTTGACATCCTGTAGGGCTCAGTTTAGACCAAATTCTTTTGCAATAGGTTTAGAGAAGATATCATCTTTGTCCACAGCTCCATTCTTTGGTCCACCAAGTATTAACATCTACGACATCTAGACATTATCCAATAGGACACCCAGATATTTATTAAATATCTCCAATATATACCCGATATTCAGGACGCCCAGATATTTATTAAATATCTCCAATATATACCCGATATTCACCATCCGATATGGAAGTCTTCCTTCCAATATATCACATGTTAGCCAGCAGCCTCCAGCAGCTATTGTTGAATTTTAATTAAGTGGCGGGCCCCACTTATTTAATATTTCACCGAAAGTTGCTGCAACGTTTGAAAAATAAAAAGGCGGCGGGTCCTACCAATAAAATATTATCAGTGACGGGTCTCACCAATAATATTTTATTTGTGCATAGTATTTCTCAAACACTATAAATAGGGCCAAAACTCTTCAAGAAAAATCATCCTAGAAACAACTCCTCTTGTAGAAGAGTAAGAGAGAAAACATAAAGAGAGTTTGTAAGAAATTTGGAGAGTATCTTGATCAAGAGAGGGCGTTCTTTGATCCTTTTCTTTTGGAGTATAAAAAAATTAGGCATCGTCGTTGCACCGTGGAGTAGCTCCGTAAGAGTGAACCACGTTATATCTGTGAATACTGTGATTGAATTTATATCTGCTTAGGTGTGTTTTTGCATCTCCATTTGAGGCGATCTTATTGGTGTGTATCCTAATAACTGGTATCAGAGTTTGACTTAGAGTACGTATATCTGTTTATTGTATGCTTTGTGGCTGCCACTAAAGTGGATCATCCACATCAGAAAATAAATTAGATTATCATTTACTTTTTTTAAGGCACTGGGCACTATTCATGAGTATGATACTATTCATAAGTATTGTTACTATTCATAAATATGGTTCGAGAAAAGACAAAATCTTTTGCCATGGGATCTACAGTTGAAGATAATAGGCTTCGGATTGAGAAATTCGACGCTAAAATTTTAGGTATTGAAAGATGCAGATAGAAGACTATTTGTACCAGAAAGATCTCTTCCTACCCCTTCAAGGAGTGGAGGGAAAACCTGAGAAGATGGACGACGATAAGTGGAATGTGCTCGATCGTAAAGCACTTATCACCATCAGGCTCAACATTCACCAGCATGTGACTTATAACGTCTCGCATGCGACTACTACCAAAAAGTTGATAGAGGCCTTAGAGGCATTGTATGAGAAACCGTCTGATTCAAATAAGATGTACCTGATAAAGAAACTATTCAATCTAAAGATGCAGCAAGGAGCTCGCGTGGCGGACTTTTTGAACGAATTTCAGGTTATAGTGCAACAACTTGCTGAAGTGGATCTCAAGTTCGACAACGAGTTTCAAACTTTTCTGCTACTTTCTTGTCTACTAGATTAGTGGGAGAATTTGGTGATGGCGGTGAGCAATGCCAATGACAATGATAAGATGAAGCTCGATACGGTGATTGGGGCAATTCTGGATGAAGAATCTCATCGTAAAGTCTCAGGAACTGAGGCCTCTAGCAGTGGGAGTGCTCTGCATGTTGAGGCACGAGGGCATGCGCAGAAGAATGGTAGGGGACGATAAGACCGATCAAAGTCTAGAGGGAAGTCTAAAGGGCCGAACCCGAATAGTTACGGTGAAGGAAAGTATTTCAGATGTGGAAAGAATGATCACTTTGCACGGGACTGCAGAGCTTCTGTTCCAGTATCAGCAGGGGATGATCAGGCTGACGGTGCAACCAATTTCATGCACGAGATGGATTTGGATGTATTTCTCATATCTCTTGAAGACAAGAGAGATGGATTTGGATTTGGATGTATTTCTCATCTTTCCATGCAATCTCACAACAAAAGCTGCTTTCATCGTTCGTGAAAAAGGACTTGGGAACAACCTATCTTAGCGACAATCAACCTTACAAAGTTTTTGAGAAAGGAAATTGTACCTTCAAGATGGAGGGAAGGACCATCTTAACGCTGAACGATGTTCGACATGTACTGGATCTCAGACGGAATCTTATATCAATCGGGTAACTAACTGACTCCGGTTATAGAGTATCCTTCGAGCAGGAAAGCTGGAAGGTGCTCAAGGGTGTCTTGATGGTGATACACAACAAACGTGAGGGGTCTTTCTATATCGCCAATGGGAAGATCTACCGCTTGCTTGTCGTAGGATAAGCATCATCATCATCATCCGTCGACTGCATGACTTGGTATCGACGACTTGGCCACATGAGTGAGAAGGGGATGTAGATTATGACCGCGAAAAAAAGGCTTCCGGGTCTGAGCAAGATCGATCTGATTTTCTGTGAGGACTGCATCTTAGGCAAACAAAAGAAGATGAGCTTCAACAAGATCGGACCGGCTCCAAAATTACAAAAATTAGAATTGGTACACACCGATGTGTGGGGACCTGCGCAAGTCTCATATGTTGGCAACTCTCTTTATTTTATCACTTTTATTGATGGTGCTACTAGAAAACTATGGGTGTTCTTCTTGAAGCATAAGTCATATATTTTTATCATCTTTAAGAAGTGACTTGTCTGTGTGAAGAACGAAACAAGCAATAAACTGAAGTGTCTAAAGTCTGATAATGAAGGCTGAGTATTGCAGCCAGGAGTTCGAGAATTTCTGTTCGTCCCATGGGATTAGGATACTAAAGACCGTCCCAGGCACACCTCAGCACAACAGAGTGACGGAGCGTATGAATCGCACTATCTTGGAGCGCGCTAGAAGTATGAGGATTCACTTCGGATTACCCAAGAGTTTTTGGGTCAAAACTGTCAATATTGCTGCATACTTGATCAACCGCGGGCCATCCGCAGCTCTCAGTTATGGGATACCTGAAGAGGCTTGGACCGGAAAGAAGCTGAAGTTAGAGTATTTACGAGTATTTGGTTGTGACGTCTATGTCATGACCAATCCTACAGATTGGTCAAAGCTTGATCCAAAGTAAGCTCTCTTTCATCGGCTATGAAGGAGATGAGTATGTGTACCGTTTCTAGGATCACGATGCGTGCAAGGTGGTGCGTAGTCGTGACATCGTGTTCCATGAGAATACGGTATACAAGACCAAAGAGGTGAGTGGAAGTCAGCTATCTCCTCTTATTTTCTCAGATATTGCTGATAGTGAGCACGATGGTGAGATACCAATTAGCATAGAAAACAAAGACTAAGAAAACGTGCCGGATGCACAGGAGCAGGATCCACCAGAGTTGCCGATCACAATTCGTAAAGCTCCAAGAAATCCGAGGGTCCCAAAAAGATACCTTTCCACCATGAATTATCTTCTCCTGACTGACAGTGATGAGCCAAAGAGCTATGATGAGGTACAACAGACCGACAAAGTTCGGGACGAATGGGAGTCTGCCATAGAAGAAGAAATAAAATCCTTGATGAAAAATAGGACTTCGGAGCTCGTAAAGCTTCCAAAAGGGCGAAAGGCTCTTCACAATCGGTGGATTTATCGGGTTAAGAATAAAGCCGATAGACGGAGATGCTATAAAGCGAGGCTTGTAGTGAAGGGCTATGAGTAGAAAGCAGGGACAAACTATTCTGACGTTTTCGCTCCCGTCGTCAAGTTGACCACGATCCAGACTATGCTGAGCATTATGGCAGTTCAATATCTCCATCTAGAGCAGATGGATGTGAAAACAACATTTCTTCATGGAGATTTGGAAGAAGAGATCTATATGCATCAACCTATGGGCTTCGAGGAACGAGACAGGGAGGGCCTCATGTGTCGCTTGCGTAAGAGCTTGTATGACCTGAAACAAGCTTCGCGACAGTGGTACATGAAGTTTGAGAACTTTATGGAGAATATTTTTCTCAAATGCGACACAGACCACTGTTGCTTCATCGAGGGGTATGACGAATTATATGTGATACTCTTGATTTATGTTGATGTCATGTTAATTATTAGGCCCGACTTGGCCCGCATTAAGGAACTCAAGGGGCGTCTCTCCGAGTTCTTCGAGATGAAGGATCTGGGTCCATCAAATCAGATTCTTGGGATGAGAATCATCAGAGACAGATCAGCACGGATGTTGAGGTTGTCTCAGAAGGCCTTCATTGAGAAGATTCTTAAAAAGTTTGGTATGGAGAAAGCTAAATCGGTGGGCTCACCGTTTGCGAGCCATTTCAAGCTATCAAAGACCCAAGCACCAGAAACTGATGAAGAGCATGAGTTCATAGCCAGCATACCATATACATCTGCTGTCGGAAGTTTGATGTATGCGATGGTGTGCACGATGCCAGATATTATACTGTAGGTGTAAATTTTGATCTCCCGAAAACAGAGAACTTCGTTTGTATTACAAACTAATAAATCGAAATTACAACAGAAGCAGAGGGAATACCCTCCTTGTTTAATGTGGGGACTTTCGGTAGCTACAAGATACTTCGTTCGATTCTCGTGCCGAGTCTGCTTCCCTTGGACGGTTCAATCGAGGTTGCTGGAGAGCTTCAGTACACAGTAGGAGCTCAGATTGATGGAGTTCGGATCTCCGAGTTCGGTTGCGATCAGGACCTGGAACTGAGAGGAGATGCTACAGTGCAAAGGTTATGCAAAGAGCTTGCCGTCGACCCGATTGGGAGTCGAGAGCTAGTGGTTCGGTTAGCTGATTCGACTATGAGCGAATCGCTGAGCGGCTAAAAATAGTTGAACCTCTTCTTTTTTGGCTGGAAGAAGTTCTGAACCCCTTCTTTGTGGCTGGAAGAAGTTCTTAAATGGTGGAGAGACCACGTGGTTACTCCTTGAATCATGGGATATGACCATGTACTGTTGAGAGACGTCTTGCCAGACCACG